CTGACTAGGTGACTCTGGACCAGTCACTCTTTCTCAGTCCAGCCTACCTCACAAGGTTTTTGTTGTGGGAAAAACAGAAGGAGAAAGGAGTTTTAAGTATGTTTACTGCCTTGAGTTACCTGTGTAATAATAAAGGCAGAATGAACATCTAATAAATAAATATAGATTATGAGGGTTCCTTGGTGCTCTCTGAGCTTGCTTGTTTTCTTGCAGATGTTTCATTACCCAAATTAGGTAACATAATCAGTGCTAGTAAGGAGTGCTGTTTGTTGTCATTTTATATTCTGGTATCTTGCCTGTGTGGGTGGGTGGGTGTGTCTTAGGGATTCTTTGGTTGGGCTGTTTACTGAGGACCCCTCATTTCAACCCTGAGCTACAAATATTCTCTTTCATAAATATTGATTATAATTGCCATATTTGTTTTTTTGACCCCCTACTCAACAAATCCCTCATATCTATTATTCACGTCATCCTAAACTGTAATTTAGGGGGGGGAAAGTGTTTTTTTTCCTGTATACTTAAAGCAAGACAATTCTTTATTTTAAAAAAATCACGTGTTGATTCTTGGAGTAGGTTAGAAAGCAGAATTTGTCACAGAAACTAGTTTTAATTTTTTTCTTTGACAGATGTTCCCCAAGAGCCCAGTGACTTATCTCCAAACAACCCTGAAAGATGTAAGTTAATACATTCTTCTGGACTGATGCAACTGTGGTCTCCTTGAAATTCTTAGATTTCCGAAATATCCATGATGGATAATGAATCCTTTGATTAACCTTTTCTTCTTTGCATTAGCACAGTGAGATGCAGATGGCCAAGTAGGATTTGAATGTAGATTTTTCCACACTCAATCTCTCGCTCATTAGACCAAGACATCTCAATGACTTTAGCTTTTGCAGGCCTAATAGTATCTTCTATATCAGGAGTTCCCAAACTTGGCAACTTTAAGACTTGTGGAGTTCAGTTGTCAGAATGCTCCAGACAGCATGAAGAATTCTACATCAGATTCTAGAAAGAGTACAGAGAAGAGCAACAAAGATGATTAAGGGACTGAAGGCTAAAACATACGAGGAATGGTTGCAGGAACTGGGTATGTCTAGTTTAATGAAAAGTAGGACAATTAGTAGAACAATTAGTAGGACAATTAATCAGAGGAACAACTTACCTCCAGGAGCCGTAAATGCTCCAACACTGGAAGTTTTTATGAAGAGATTGAACAACCATTTGTCTGTAATGGTATAGGGTTTCGTGCCTAAGCAGGTCTTCTAATCCAGCTCCCTGCTCAAGCAGGAGAATCTATACCATCTCAGACAAGTGAGTGTCCAAGGTTGGAGCATTCATGGCTTCTGGAGGTAAGTTGTACCACTGATTAATTGTTCTCACTGTCAGGAAATTTCTTCTTAGTTCTTGGTTGCTTCTCTCTTTGGTTAGTTTCCATCCGTTGCTTCTTGTCCTGCCTTCTGGCGCTTTGGAGAATAGCTTGACTCCCTCTTCTTTGTGGCAACCCTTGAGATACTGGAACACTGCTATCATGTCACCCCTCATCCTTTTCTTCATTAAAGTAGACATATCCAATTCCAGCAACCGTTCTTCATATGATCCTTGATAGAGATTCATACCGAAGCAAAATTTTCATCACTTGAATTCCGATAGGCCTCTGATGGTCTTTGGACTATGTTAGAAGTACACCAGAGTGCCAATATTTCACCCTCTGCTCTGTAACAAAATTCTCTAAGACAGTGTTTCTCAACTTGTGATCTACAGACCCCTGGGGTCTCCTAAATGTCATCACAGGAGGTCTACAAAGTCTTGAAGAAATGTTATGATTTACAGTAAATGATAGCAGTGTTCTGATATCTCAGTCATGACCACAAAGAAGAGGGAGTCAAGCTATTCTCCAAAGCACCTGAAGGCAGGACAATAAGCAATGGAAACTAACCAAGGAGAGAAGCAACCTAGAACTAAGGAGGAATTTCCTGACAGTGAGAACAATTAATCAGTGGAAGGATGTTTCTCCAGAAGCCGTGAATGCTCCAACACTGGAAGTTTTTAGGAAGAGACTGGACAGCCATTTGTCTAAAATGGTATAGGGTTTCCTGCCTGAGCAGGGGGTTGGACTAGATGACCTTCAAGGTCCCTTCCATCATCATCATCATGTTGTTGTTGATCTTCTTCTTCTTCTTCTTCTTCTTCTTCTTCTTCTTCTTCTTCTTCTTCTTCTTCTTCTTCTTCTTCTTCTTCTTCTTCTTCTTCTTCTTCTTCTTCTTCTTCTTCTTCTTCTTCTTCTTCTTCTTCTTGAGTTAAGTATTGGTGGTCCATGGCCACAAAAGGTATTTAACGGGGGTCCATGATAAAGAAGTGGTTGAGAAATACTGCTCTAAGAAATTTCACCTTTAGATAAATTTCACTCCTCGCATGGATTCCTTCAAAAGAACAGATTTTATTATAAATTATTTGATGATACGAGGCTTGTTTGCTAGGAAGAATTCCTGCACATCTATCTGTTTTTCTTTGTTTCTTCAGATGCTGAAAGCAGTGGACTCCTTGAAACCTTCAGAGGGGCGGGTACTGTATAGATCTTCATATTTCAATAGGGAAACATGTAGAAAATATATTTCAACAGACTTCAACATGGGGTGAACCACAGGCCATTTCAGGAAGCACCCATCTTTCTGAACACCCAAATTGTCCTACTTGGCTTTTGAATTATGCTCAGATGTGAGGCACAAGACAATTAAGAGATGGATTTTTTAAAAGATGGCTACACCTTATATTTTGGCACGGTGCTCAGCGATTAAGATTAAGGTTCGAGACCCAAGTGCAACGTGATCGGGTAAGCTCCTGTCCTTGCCTCAACTCCTGCCAACCTAGAAGTTCGAAAGCATGCAAAGGCAAGTAGATAAATAGGTACCACTTACCTGGAAAGCTAATAGCACTTTGACATCATGCTGGCCACAAGACCATGGAAATGTCTTCGGACAATGCTGGCTCAATGGCCTCGAAATGGAGGCGAGCAATGTCCTATAGTTGGCCATGACTAGCAGAGTAAAAGCTGCAGGGACCCCTTTATCTTTTTTTTTTCTCACACCACACATTTAAAGATAACATCTGGGTTTATCTTTCCACCCCTGAATGTTATATCTCTTGTCAGTCTTACAACTTGTCTGATATTCTGGGGACACCATCAACGTTCTTATCTGTCTTTTGAAGTTTTCTTCTGCACTTTTGCTTCCCTTAATCCAGTGGTTCTCAACCTTTTTAATGTCGCGACCCCCAACCGGTCGTAAGTCAAGGACTACTCAACCGGTTGTAAGTCGAGGACTACTCAACTGGTACAGCACCGTTTGCAGAATGGGGCTTTTGGCGGGCTCAGAGGGCAGAGACAGCCTGGACAATTCCTATTGGCTTTTGAAAGCCAATAGAATTAGACTCTATTGAAGAGAATCTATTCTATTGGCTTTCAAAAGCCAATAGAATAAAAGGGAGTAGCACAGTTAAGGAAAAGGGGAAAAAAATGGCGGACTGCGTTGTTTGGCGACCCCCGTGAAATGGTCGTTCAACCCCAAATGGGGTCCCGACCCACAGGTTGAGAACCACTGCCTTAATCTAAGGATCAATAACCAAACCCAGACATTTCCATAACATCAATAACCTAATACTTTAAATATTAAACTCTCAGGTGTGCTACCACTCATCAGCAATTCCATTTTTATCAGTGATGGAATTCAAATATGTGAACAACTGGTTCTCTGTGTGGTTGCCACTTCCGGAAGTCCATTCTGGGCCTGGGCAACAAAAAATTAGCTACCGGTTCTGCTGAACTGGAGCGAACCGGCTGAATCCCACCACTGCATTTTCTGCAAAAATGCTTTGATTTGACAAGAGTTCACGAGTCTCACACCAGGAGTCTGGAGACTTCAAAGATGAGATTAACATAAGCCTTATAACAATAAAATAAAACAAATTACGTTTTTTTTAAAAGGAGAGATGGAAACATCTTGTAAATTTATTATTGTTGCTGTTATTGTTGTTCGTCACACAGTCAGCCAGAACTGTGGAATGGATTTGGCATTTTTATTCACCTATCTAGTCCTTCCCAAGGACCTGGGATTGGGAAATGTTACTGTGGTTGTTATTACTGAGTGGCACCAAGTACTCGGAAAGGAGTTTCAATCCTTGCTTTAGTCACTGACACTATTATTATTGAGAACTTTGAGAAATTTATTGATTCATGAAGAACAGGGTGGCGGAAGTAGGGTTTCTTCTGCCACTCAGCAAACTTATTGTTTTTTTTAATGTGACATAATGATTAGTTGGTTTTCTGTTTATTTCCCCCTTGCCATCTTCTTTAAAGTTTGTCTTCTAGTGTTAGTTTTTAATTATATCTGTTGAATTCTGTATTGAATCTTCTGTGCAGAAGGAAAGAGTATGATAATTAAAAACAAAGGATTGTCACTGTAATGGGGTGTCAAGGGCCACATAATGCAATGCATACAATAAAGAAAAACTTAGTTTTCACAGCATTGCCTAAGGGACAAATGTGATTTGAAATTTATCTTATTCAAATATTAGAAATTCTTGTATTTAGCAAGAGCTCACTGGGGCCTTCCTTCCTTCCTTCCTTCCTTCCTTCCTTCCTTCCTTCCTTCCTTCCTTCCTTCCTTCCTTCCTTCCTTCCTTCCTTCTTCCTTCTTTCTTTCTTTCTTTCTTTCTTTCTTTCTTTCTTTCTTTCTTCCTTTCTTTTCTTTTCTTTTCTTTTCTTTTCTTTTCCCGTAGTTTCCTTGGCCATTTCTGGAAGTAATAGAAGTTTATTTCAGCTATTTAGTTAAGCATCAAACCCCTGTTTTCATCATCTGTAAAAAAAAAAAAAAAAAAGTTATAGAAAAGGTATTTGATTGCCTAGAGAGGCATATTTTGAAATTTCCTGATCAAGGAAATTACAAAAAGCATAAACATTATCTGGCATGATAACATAAACTTTTCTCTTTTATTTTGCTTTATAGCCGTAACCCAGAAAGATGCAACTGTTGCTTTTGATAATTCTGTACAAAGAGGTAAGTTGATACCTGCAGTTTGTTCCCAGGGTGAACAAGTCTTCAACCCTGCTGTGGAAAATATTTGCTTAATTTACAGTTATTGGAAACGTGTATCTTATTTTTATCCTGGCCTTTAAAAAGGCTTGAGCTGAAAGTAACCTGGCTTGCTAAGACTTTCATGCCTTGAACGACCTTGCTAGCAATATGTACACACCTTAGATCAACAGGCCAGTATGCTGCAGCTGCCAAAAAGGCCAACACAGTGCTAGGCTGCATTAACAGAGGGATAGAATCAAGATCATGTGAAGTGTTAATACCACTTTACAATGCCTTGATAAGGCCACCCTTGGGATACTGCATCCAGTTTTGGTCACCACGATGTAAAAAAAGATGCTGAGACTCTAGAAAGAGTACAGAGAAGAGCAACAAAGATGATTAGGGGACTGGAGGCTAAAACATATGAGGAACGGTCGCTGGAATTGGGTATGTCTAGTTTAATGAAGAGAAGGACGAGGGGGGACATGATAGCAGTCTTCCAATATCTGGGGGCTGCCACAAAGAAAAGGGAGTCAAGCTATTCTCCAAAGTGCCTGAGAGCAGGACAAGAAGCAACGGATGGAAACTAATCAAGGAGAGAAGCAACCTAGAACTAAGGAGAAACTTCCTGACAGTTAGAACAATTAACCAGTGGAACAACCTGCCTCCAGAAGCGGTGAATGCTCCAACACTGGAAGTTTTTAAGAAGAGACTGGACAGTCATTTGTCTGAAATGGTATAGGGTTTCCTGCCTGAGCAGGGGGATGGACTAGATGACCTCCAAGGTCCCTTCTAACTTTATTATTATTATTATTATTATTATTATTATTATTATTATTATTATTATTATTATTGTAACATTCTGTCTTACCAGTTGTATCCCTTCCCGCTCCCACTTGATAAGGCAATACAACAAGACTTAGGAGATTGGGTAGGGGGAAAAGCATATTTATACTTGATCTAAATTCATACAGAGTCGAATCTCCTATTAAGAAGTAAAGGAGTTAATCCTGCATCTTTTCCCAGGATTGTCAGAGAGCCATTTTGCTACAACAAGCGCTACAACTACTTCACCTGAGATTAACATAACAGAAGCGGAATTCACCCCAGCTTCAGAATTTTCAAGACCAGCAAACCGCGGCAAGTAAAATTCCAGTTGCCCTAGGATTCATTAGGAAAAAAAGGCAATTGCAAGCACATCTGTGACTGTATGTTAAAAGTGCACCTCTACTTTTTATATATCATCATTATCATTCTAGCTTTCGACTGTCCACTGCAGGATGAAGGTCTCTTCTGCATGTTTCCAGCCAGTACTTTATATATATAAGACACTTATTTAAAGTGAGATTCATGGGTTTTTCATTCAAGAACAGTATAGGCCAGTGATGGCGAACCTTTTAGAGACTGAGTGCCCAAACTGCAACCCAAAACCCACTTATGCATCGTCGAGTGCCGGGTGGGTGTGGCCCATTGGGTGGGTGTGGCCCATTGGGTGGGTGTGGCCCATTGGGTGGGCATGGCCCATTGGGTGGGCGTGTCTGCGGTGGTAATGGCAGACTGGGTGGGACTAAAAAGTTCAATCAATCAATTCCAACTTTGCAAGAACTTTTTTTTCCCACAAGAAGTTGAAATTGACTGATTGAACCTTTTTTTTTTTTTTTGCACATGGTGGCAGAGGCCTAAAGTGAAAAGGTTTTATAAAACCCAGCTGAAGACCTAGGACTGGGGTGATGGCACGCGTGCCCACAGAGAGGGCTCTGAGTGCCGCCTCTGGCACCCATGCCATAGGTTCGCCACCACTGCTATAGGATTCTGCTTTGTTTTAAATAGAACTTAGGACCCAAAATCCAGGACATCTCTTCAAGATATCTGGGGAGGAAATGGTGACGTTGTCTACAACAATTCCAGAAGAGTCACCATCTCCTGAAGAATCTTTTGGAGAAGGTATGAAATGCTTTCACTCAACCCAATAGTTTAATTGGAAGAAAAGAGAGGAGACCAATAGAACAGTTAGTATGAGAAAGTCATGTTGTACATTAAAGAAAAAAAAAGTAAAAAAAGTGACTGACCAGTGTATTAATTCTTTAGGACAGGGGTCTTCAAACTTGGCCCTTTTATGACTTGTGGACTTCAACTCCCAGAATTCCTCAGCCAGGCACGCTGGCTGAGGAATTCTGGCAGTTGAAGTCCACAAGTCATAAAAGGGCAAAGTCTGAAGACCTTTGCTCTAGGAGATGTAAAAAATCCCCTCTCTTTCATGACGTGTAATCCCTTAATTCAGGGTAGAGTTGTGGTGACTGGATGGAGCTGAGCATTTACTGGCCAGATGCCCTTCCTGACATCTATGCAGAGCTAACAGCAGAGTTTTTTTCTTTGTGCCCTGAGAGAGAAACATCTGCCATTACTTGAATTCTCAACCTTCCCAGTGGGACGTGAGCACCTTCACCATTAGGCCACCACACCACTCCTTTAGGAGATATCTTGGGCTTAATTATTTTTTTTAATGGCACACAGAAATTACATCAAAAACTGCTGTTTGCTAGTGAAATGGACCGTTCCAGGAAAATGGGTTCTTTATTTCAAATCAGCCTTATTTTTCTGGTGCCCAGATCTTCTCTTGAAGGTTGAAAGATTCAAGGGAGAAAATTTGAGGACTATGAGACACACAGAAAAAAAGAGAATTCCATAGTCGTGTTTTTTAGCCATCTGTATCTGTACTTAACAGAATACAGCTGTGAAATGCGTATCTCCTTTCCACAGTGTGTGATCGTTCCTCCTTTCTGCAACGGGGTGACAATGGGAAACTCAAGCGAGAGTTTCCACAGTTGGGTGAGATGCTCTACTGCTTGACCGACCGGTGTCCAGAGGACTTCGAATTATATGGCTGCTTTTGTGGACAAGAAGGAAAAGGACAGCCGACTGATGAACTGGACAGGTGACTGACATTCCAAGCAAACAAAGGAATTGCATACGCTCCTAAAGCAGCATGCATTTTGTTCATTTAACCCTTCTATCTAGACATGTGGGGACCTAAAGAAATATTGAAGGTTAACAATAAAGTAAAATGTAACAGAGAAAAGAAATGTTTCCCCATTTCTACTCAGCCAGAGGTATTGGGCAGGACATTGGATATTATATATTGTAAATACTCCTACACTGGAAGCTTTTAAGAAAAGATTGGACAACCACTTGTCTGAAATGATATAGGGTCAGCGGTGGGATTCAGCCGGTTCGCACCAGTTCGGCAGAACCGGTAGCTAATATTTTGCTGCCCAAGTCCAGAATGGACTTCCGTAAGTGATATCCACACAGAGAACCTGTTGTTCACATATTTGGATCCCACCACTGTATAGGGTCTCTTGTTTCAACGGGGTTGGACTAGAAGACCTCCAAGGTCCCTTTCAACTCTGTTATTCTACTCTACACTACTCTACTCTACTCTACTCTACTCTACTCTACTCTACTCTACTCTATACTCTACTCTACTCTACTCTACTCTACTCTACTCTACTCTACTCTACTCTACTCTACTCTATCCCATCCCATCCCATCCCATCCCATCCCATCCCGCAATCTATTCTATTCTATTCTATTCTATTCTATTCTATTCTATTCTATTCTATTCTATTCTATTCTATTCTATTGATGTATTCATTGTGATCAATATGCAGGGCTTTTTTTTGTCATAGAACTCCCAGAACGGAGTTCCGGCGCCTTTTTGGGATGGAACCTTGTAGGGTGGGCAAGGCAGGTTGTATGACATGTGTGAGTTCCGGCACCTTTTGTTTTTACAAAAAAAACACTGTCAATATGTATCATATTGATGTACAGGTAGTCCTTGACATAACCACAGTTGAGCCCAACATTTCATTTGTTAAGTGAGACATTTGTTAAGTGAGTTTTGCCTCATTTTACCACTTTTCTTGCCAGAGTTGTTAAGTGAATCACTGCAGTTGATAAGTTAGTAACCTGGTTGTTAAGTGAATCTGGATTTCCCATTGACTTTGCTTGTGACCCCCGGGACCCAGCAACGATTGTAAGTATGAACCAGTTGTCAAGCATCTGAATTTTGATCACATGAACCTGGGCATGCTGAAAAGACCATAACTGTGAAAAACTGTGTTAAGTCACATTTTTCAGTGCCGTTGTAACTTTGAACAGTCACTAAATGAACTGTTGTAATTCGAGGACTACCTGTATTCAGTATGTTATCGTGTTGATGTATTCTTGTTGTGTTCTTTTTTCCTTGTTTATCTTATTGTACTATTATGGAATTTCTATGGAAATTCTCAGTCATCCAGGAAACCTTCAGAAAAGATCTGGAAAATAATTTTGCTTCTGGATTTGGTCACAGTGATTCCTTCCTTCCTTCCTTCCTTCCTTCCTTCCTTCCTTCCTTCCTTCCTTCCTTCCTTCCTTCCTTCCTTCCTTCCTTCCTTCCTCCCTCCCTCCCCCCTCCTCCTCCTCCCTCCCTGCCTCCCTCCCTGCCTCCCTCCCTTCCTTCCTCCCTCCCTCCCTCCCTCCCTCCCTCCCCCCCCTCTCCTCCTCCTCCCTCCCTCCCCCTCCTCCTCCCTCCCTCCTCCCTCCCTGCCTCCCTCCTTCCTTCCTCCCTTCCCTCCCTCCCTTCCCTCCTCCCCTCCTCCTCCTCCTTCTCTCCTTCCTCTCCCCTCCCTCCCTCCCTCCCTCCCTTCTTTCTTTCCTTCCTTCCTTCCTTCCTTCTCCAGAATAGGTCTGCTTTCTAGGCTCTATTACTTGTGTTACCTAAGCAACAGATAGACCCAGGTAGACCCAACTCTATCAGATCTTAAAAGACTGGCAGAAATCACAGAGAGAGATGATTCTCTTTGCCCCTCTCCACCTCCTCTAATGGCAGACTCTGCTTCTTGTCCATGTCCCATACTTTGACCTGAACTATATGGTATGATAAAGCAAGAGAGAAAATATTTTTTAAAAAATATGATACCAGTAAGGTTTATACCAATGTATGAGATGCTGCAGAATATGTAGGTGGAAAATGGTTTTGAAATGTTAATTCTGTTATCCTCTCCATCTGACAGATGTTGTTTCTCCCATCAATGCTGCCTGGAACAAGTTAAAAGACTGGGATGCCAGCCGGAAAAAAACCCAAGATCTGAAGTTGTGTGCTTTGATCACACACCAACATGTAAGTTTTGAGAATAGCAGCATCCAAGAATCACCTCTTTCTTAAGTGAAACATTTTTAAAAGAAAAGAAAAAAAAAACAGCTTTCTCCAGTGAATAGTGATAGCACTTAGACTTATATATCGCTTCACCCTGCTTTACAGCCCTCTCTAAGCGCTTTACAAAGACAGCATATTGCCCCCAACAACTTGGGTCCTCATTTTACCAATCTTAGAAAGATAAAAGGCCGAGGCAACTTTGAGCCGGTCAGGATTGAACTGCTGGCAGTTGGCAGAATTAGCCTTGCAATACTGCTTTCTAACCGTTGCTCTTCCTGCAGTCAATGCAGGAAATTCTTCAAGGAAGGAATTTCAACAAACGAGTTAGAATTTCTTCTGACAGTTAAAAATTCACCTCCCCAGTCCACTATGAAGGGATACCTTGGGGGGGGGAGGTGTGGACCAAATTTATCAAAATGGTAAAAATAATCAAATAATCAAATGGAGTCCTTGGTGCTTCCTGAGCTTGGTTGTTTTCTTGCAGATGCTTCATTACCCTACTACAGACATGTCAAACACGAGGCCCGGGGGCCGGATGTGGCCTGCGAAGTGGTTTCATGTGCCCCGCGAAGCCATCCTGGAAACAGTGAGGGAACGGCCCCCGCTACCTTGGCCCTGGCCCAGGCCGGCCGGGAGCCAATGTACAATTTTGTGGTGGCCATCTATGCTGAAACGCATTCAGTCTTAGCTCCATAAGCCCCCCCCCCCGCATGGCCTGAGAGGAACTATGAGGCTCCTCCAGTGGACTATGCCTTGGCACTTGCCTTGGTCCCACCCCCTTCTGCCAGAGACCCTCAGATCTGTCCCACTCCTGCCCAGGCCCCCTTGACACAAACAATGTAGAGCTGGCCATGCCCACCCAATAGGCCACACCCACTTCCTCCACACCCACCCAGTAGGCTGCACCCACCCTGGCCACACCCACCCAGCCCCCTGAGGGCAACCGCAATGCTGATGCGGCCCTCAATGAAATTGAGTTTGACACCCCTGCCCTACTAGGTAACATCTTCAGTCCTAGAAGGCAGTGTAGGTTGCTCTCTCTTTATATACAGGTGGCTTGCCTTGTCAGTGTTTGTGGGAATGGGCTTTTCTTCATTCCTTGATTCTTGCTAGTTCTTTAAATATGTTCTGACTCGACTCTCCGAACACAACAGGCGCACCAATAAATCTCCAACGTTCCTTTTATTCAGGAACACCAGCAGTTTCACACAACCGCTTGTTCAAGTCTTTAGTTGCCTTTTCCCCTGCAGGGGTCTCCCAAAACCCAGAGCTAATTTCGGTCTCTCACAATGCTTGCAGCAAGAATCCTTCAGGCAAACGGGCTCTTTTCCAACATGCACATGCTTAGAAGGCGCTCCGACTCCCAGCGCCACAGGATCTGAGGAAAACTCCGGCAAGTTTACAAACCAGAATCTGACTGGCAGGGAGACAGATAGTTGTCTGCCACACCTATTCGTCTCTGCCCCTGCCTTTTATCCACAGCTGAGGGTGGGGCTCTGTTAGTAGCGGTAACTTGCCCCGAGGACCGGCCCATAGCCTCTCGCTGTTCTCCTCTTCTCAGCCTCCGCCGTGCCCGTGCATCAATCACTGGCCCCATGTGATCCTCCTCTCCTGAATCACTTGCCTCAAGGCATGGAGGTCTCAGCCTTTCCATCAGGGGGCTGGCGGATGGCCCAGGTGCCACTTCTGTCCCTGGCTGTGACAGCTCCATTCCTTCATCCCCATTGGAGCTTTCAGATGGCCCTGACACTGGGGCCGATGCCCACTCCTGTGCTTTCTCCTCTGAGTTGGTCGCGGTGTTCTCCGGTGGCGGACAGGCCACAACAAAATAACCATGTCTTGTCTCTATAGCACACGCTGCACACTCTTAAAAAGAGGTGGGGCTTTGATTCCCAATAGCCAATAGCAGAGAATATTTGTAGGTCAGGGCTGAAATGAGGAGTCCTTGGTGCTCTCTGGGCTTGGTGATTTTCTTGCAGATGCTTCATTACCCAACTAGGTAATGACAATGCTAGTGATGCTACTGATGACATCACATGGTTGGGTAATGAAATGTCTGTAAGCAAAGAACAAAGCTCAGAGAGTATCAAGAATCCCTTATTCGATTGCTCGATTGCACCCACCTTTCGACATCATTGGTTCTCTAGCCCAAGGGCCATGTCGCGACGATGGCAAATATCTCCTGCAATCACGGCCTCTGTCTCAATCTTCTTCCTTCCTTTTAGGTGTTGGATGGAGCCTGTGTGAAAATCTCCTTTGTTCCTGTGATAAAGCTGCAGCCGAATGCATGGCTGCAGCCCCGTTCAACGAAAGCTGGAAGTTGCCCAGCAGACCGGCTTGCCAAGAGGACAAACTGGCTTGCCGCTGGGCGGGGCGTGAGAGGCCACCAGACAGCCCCCCGAGAGGTGCCAGAACATCCAGTGAAGAAGAAGAAAGTAGCAGTGAGGAGGCAGATCTAGCTCAGCCCCTCTTGAGACGGGGAAAAAGAGCGATACGCCATGGTAGAAGATCTAGACTAGTCCCATTGCAAACAAGATAATCTCTACTTCTCTGTCCAGCTACTGGTAATGTTATTCAAGGGGCAGCCAGTAGTATATCCTATGCAGCTGTTCAGTCTCTTCTTAAAAGCCTCAAGTGATGAAGCACTCACAACTTCTGAAGGCAAATTGTTCCAGTGATTAATTGTTCTCAACGTTAGGATATTTCTCTTTAGTTTTAGAACTTTGTGGGTGCTCCATCACTGGAGGCTTTTAAGAAGAGATTGGACAGCCACTTGTCTAGAATGGTATAGGGTCTCCTGCTCTAGCAGGGGGTTGGAGTAGAAGACCTCCAAGGTCCCTTCCAATTATGCTATTTTATCTTGGAAGACAACAGGATGTAAATGTGGGAGATCTTCTGCTTATAGGATGATCTCTAACTGTATATATCCATGGTGAGGAACCTCAACACACCTCCTGATTATATAGCCATAATACCTATTTCATTTTTAATCTCATATCGGTGGAAGGTTGTATAAAGCTAAGGTCGGAGCCGAGATGAAAAAAATCTAATTTGCGTTCAATACCATCACGGGATTTCTAAATCTCTGTTTCTTGAACAAGCCATGGTGATTTGATTCTCCTACCTAACCCTAATAAATAGCTCTGTGCACAACATTAAACCAACAGTTTCATTTTTAATGCGTGCCATTGTGCCCACAGTAAAAAAATGACAATAAAGGTTATCTATCTATCTATCTATCTATCTATCTATCTATCTATCTATCTATCTATCTATCTATCTATCTATCTATCTATCCATCCATCCATCCATCCATCCATCCATCCATCCATCCATCTATCTATCTATCTATCTATCTATCTATCTATCTATCTATCATCTTCTTGATATTATGGCTTATCATACCCTGTCAATCAAAGTTCCTATTAAAAGCTTGACACTGCTTCATCCTTTGTCCTTATTTTTAGGAACAATTTATCATAATGAAACAAGTATGAAAACAAGAGCTGAGATGATTCTTTTTCAGGTTTTGCTTTAATACTGGAGGGGTGAATCCATGGAATGAAGCTCATTTTAAAAGAAAATGACCAACTAATCATGCCTGACTTTTCCTTGATTTAATTTTTGGTGTGGCCAATCAAACATTTGTAGCTTTAGATGTTTGACATATCTCAGAATCTTTATGACAAACTTAAATGAAGATATAATTGCTGAGAGTACAAGCAGGTCTTGTGCCTGAGCAGGGGGTTGGACTAGAAGACCTCCAAGGTCCCTTCCAACTCTGTTATTCTGTTAATTCCTATCAACACAAAAAAGAACAGATAGCACAAGAGTTTGCTTAATTGATCATATATTCAGTGGAATTTGAGGTAGTACAGAACTGGATGGGAATTGGGCTAATTTTGTTTTTTGGGGGGAGAGAGTAGAAGTCTGCTTCTGTGGGGCTAGTTACAATAAGTAGAAAAAGGTCTATGATCCCCATGGATCCTAATCCTATTTGAGAATTGTGTTTTAGGATGTTTCTGCACATTTTGTGCTTCTTCAAAATGCTCACTGCACTTTTCATTTCTCTGAGCTGAACATATTTACTGCTCCAAAGCAGAATTAATGCAAATCTTCTTTCAAAAACTCAACCAAATCTTTTGAAAATCACCTCAACCATAACCTTCCTAGAGTTTTACTCCAGGAAGCTTATGCTTGAGGTGATTTCCAATGGGCAGAAATTCTCATCCATCATTCTGCCTCCAAGCTCCTGGGATCCATTCAGTTACTTTCCACTTCCCCTAAGCCAGGGGTAGGCAACCTTGGTTCTTTTATGACTCGTGGACTTCAACTCCCAGAATTCCTGAGCCAGCCATGCTGAGGGGAAAGGGAGAGGTTTCTAAGCTGAGCCATGCTGGCTCAGGAATTCTGGGAGTTGAAGTCCACGAGTCATAAAAGAGCCAAGTTTCCTATCATCTAGGCCAGGGGTAGGCAACCTTGCCTCTTTTATGACTCATGGACTTAAAGTCCCAGAATTCCTGAGCCAGCCATGCTGAGGGGAAAAGGAGAGGTTTCCAAGCTGAGCCATGCTGGCTCAGGAATTCTGGGAGTTGAAGTCCACGAGTCATAAAAGAGCCAAGGTTGCCTACCCCTGCCCTAGATGGTCAACTGCTGTGTCATCATCACCCAGAGATGCCATCTTTCAAATTCCCACACATTCCCACAATGACAGTGCCGTATACATTGTTAAAAATATCCCTCCCTTCCTCCCTCTTTCATTCCTTCTCTCTCGAAGGAATAAAAGAGGGAGGAAGGGAGGGATATTTTTAACAATGTATAAGGCATTGTCATTGTGGGAAGAATTCAGAGAAAGAAATATTTTAGGAAATATTAAAAAGACAGACTATATTTCCCCAACAGTCTTCAGCCCCAGCCCCAGGGAAGTAGGATGTGATTGTTGGGACATAATAGGATTAACCCACCACCATCAGAATGCCAGAAGGGCACACTCAGACTCAGGTCAAAGTACATGACACAGGAAATACAAAGCCTCAAACAGGAACAGGAAACAACCTCAAGAGCCCCAGAAGGTATAAAAGCCCACCACTCTTGCTCCATGTGGTCAAGTTTTTTTTCCCCAGAGCCATCTTTCTGTTTGGCTCTCCTCTCCAATAAACTACAGCCTTCTTTCTAAAGCAGCCTCCATGTTGTTTATTCCCGGCTTGGACGGGATCCTGATGAAGATTTTTCTTTCAACGTAGTCTATCAGAAAGTGCTCAAGCTTTTTATGTACACATAGACCTCAACTTACAGCCATCTATTTAGTGACTGTTCAAAGTTACAAAAGTGACTTATGACAGTTTTTCACATTTATGACCATTGCAGCACGCAATCAAAATTCAGGCACTTGCCACTGACTCACATTTATGATGGTTGCGGTGTCCTGGAATCATGTGATCACCTTTTGTGACCTTCTGACAAGCAATTTCAATGAAGGAGTCAGATTCACTAACAGTTATGTTACTGTGTGATCATAAAAATACTTTAGATATTGCAACTGTATGGTGGTATGGTGCCATAGCAAGCAAATATAATTAAACAGTGGAGAAGGGAAAGAAGGTTGGGAAGTCCTGAAGAATGATGTAACATTCATTAATTCTTATTTGATGTCAGGTACATTTATCAGATGTTTGCAGTCTGGTAGAATTAACTGGTCATCCCTAATATTCTTCCTCTTCCACAATTTATTTTCATTTGGACAATAAGAACAATATCAATTTAGTTGCAATTCCTTTTATACCTTATTAAGTGAATTAAGTTAAATGAATATTTCAGTCTCTGCCTGTAGCTTTGCTTTCTATTATATCAGTACAATGCATGCTGCTAAATTGTTCTCCAGCTTGATTCCCCCAATTGTTATGGGTGACAACATTAACCATTTATAGTCTGCATAGTCAGTTGAATGGTTTGAAGGGGAATGAGTAGTTGATAGAATTGACATCAAATACTTCACAATTTGGGTGCTATGAAAAAAAAAGTCTCTCATCAATCCTTCTTTCGGCTTGTCAGTCACATAAATTCAGAAGTCTGTGGAGATTCTAAGTCAGGGGTCTTCAAACTTGGCACTTTTAAGACTTGTGGACTTCAACTTCCAGAATTCCTCAGCCATCATGGCTGATTGAGGAATTTGGGGAGTTGAAGTCCACAGGTCTTAAAGTTGCTAAGTTTGTAGTCCCCTGTTCTAAGTCCTCCAGATCATGGTTGTCCCAAAGGTGCTTTTGCAAAAGGCAACTGGACTTTGTTTTTTCCTTGAAGATGTTTCACTTCTCATCCAAGAAGCTTCTTCAGTTCTGAACTGAACTGAAGAACTGAAGAAGTTTCTTGGATGAGAAGTGAAATGTTTTCAAGGAAAAAACAAAATTCAGTTACCTTTTGAAAAAGCACCTTTGGGACACAAATTCAGAAGACAAAGGTATTCAGCAAAGGAGCTATTCTGGAGGTTGTAGACAGCAGGTGAGTTGATATGCAATTCTTTGAATCAGTTTTACTCAAATTGGCACTCTCTAGGTGAGTTGGACTACAATTCCCACCAGCTCTACCACCAAAGGTAAGCAATCTGCTCAGAGAGTGGGCACTATGATGTAAATTCATAGAAAGTCATAGCATTAAAAATAATTCAAAAATAATTAAGCAAAACAACCTCATGGGATCCCATGCTTGAAGACAGAGACTGTGTAAGATTCACTATCTTGTATAATGTGAAAATAATACATGGCAAAAGAAAAAAAAGATAGTACCAATAGTCACAGATGTCTTGGGTGCAATCCCCAAACATCTGGAGCACTACTTGAATACCATCAGTGTTGACAATGACTCCTTCAGTCAGTTGCAAAAAGGTGGCTTTCCTTAGAATAGCTTACATCATGTGACGATACCCTTAATACCATCAATCAACATCTGCTTATCCTTGGGAAGGAGTGGATAAGTGGACCAAAATGCCAAATCCAATCTGAAACATCTGGCTGACTGTGTGACCAACCCTAACAAATGCAAAAGGCAGCTAAAACATCTGGCTGACAGTATGATGAACCTTTAACACCCTCAAACAACAGCATCTGCCCATCCCACATCCTTGGGAAGGAGTTAGTGGTGGGATAAAAAGGCCAAATCCAGTCTAAAACATCTGGCTGACTGTGTGAGGAACCCTAACAACTGCCAAAGGCAGTTTTACTTGGAAGACTTGACATCCTGCCATGACACCTTTAATACCATCAAACAACCTGCTTTCCCAGGCCCTTTGGGATTCAATAGGTGGATAAAAATGCCAAATCTAGTCTAAACATCTGGCTGACTGGGCAACCGACCATAACAACAACAACAACAATAGCAACAACAATAGCAACAACAGCAATAATAATAATTG